GCGGAGGCGACGGCAAGGCGGAGGGAGGCGGCGGCGAGGGCGAGGCGGAGGGCGGCGGAGGTGACGGCGGCACGAACGGGGGCGGCGGCGACGGCGAGGTGGAGGGGGGCGGAGGGGAGGGCGAGGCCGACGGCGGCGGCGGAGAGGGCGAGGCCGACGGCGGCGGCGGCGACGGCGAGGCGGAGGGCGGCGGCGGCGACGGCGAGGCGGAGGGCGGCGGCGGCGACGGCGAGGTTGACGGCGGTGGCGGCGAGGGCGACGCTGAGGGCGGCGGCGGCGAGGGCGGCACGGACGGTGGCGGAGGCGACGGCAAGGCGGAGGGAGGCGGCGGCGAGGGCGAGGCGGAGGGCGGCGGAGGTGACGGCGGCACGGACGGGGGCGGCGGCGAGGGCGACACAGACGGCGGCGGCGGCGACGGCGAGGCGGAGGGGGGCGGAGGGGAGGGCGGCACGGACGGCGGCGGCGGTGATGGTGGCGACGGCGGCGCGGGCGAAGCGAAGACGTAGAACTTGCACACCGTCAGCCCCGCCGCAGACGGCCGGTTGAGGTAGATGTAGCGCCCCAGCGCGTTGATCTCCACCTCCAACATCACGTTCGACGACACGCTCACGTCCGACTTCACCAGCGCGTTGCCCGTGTACGTCTCCGCCGTCGAGCCGAGATAGATGTCGACGTCCGTCAGCCGCTCCGCGCAGCAGTCGTTGCGGTTCTGCAGCCGCACGTAGCGCACATACACCTCGCTCCCGAGGTCTACGCCCCACCATTGGCTTGTGTAGTGGCCGCAATCGGCCCACGGCCGTCCCGTCGTGCTGTCGGCGTATGACAGGTCGCTCACGGGCGCCTGCTTGTCGAACAAGCTCGAGTCCTGGTACGTGGTGGCGGCGCGGAGGTCGAGCAGCTGCACGTCAGGCGGCGGCGGCGACGGCGAGGCGGACGGCGGCGGCGGAGAGGGCGAGGCGGACGGCGGCGGCGCAGGCAGGGCGGAGGGAGGCGGCGGGGAGGGAGAGGCGGAGGGTGGCGGTGGCGACGGCGACGCGGAAGGAGGTGGCGGGGAGGGAGAGGCGGAGGGAGGCGGCGGCGAGGGCGGAAGCGATTCGCAGAGCGGCTGGCCTCGGAAGCCGTATTCCTCGGCACACGATCCGCCCACGACGTCCTCGTTTTGGCATACGTCAGTGGCCCGCACGCAAGTCGGGATGTCCCACGAGGGCGCAGATGCGCACGACGTGCCATCGGGGCCGATATCGCTGTCGGGCGCCATCACTAGCCCGGCACTGCTGGCCTTTGCTCGCTGCAGCCGATCGATCAGCTGGTTCAGTAGCTCGACGTCTGAGCCGGAAAGGTCTGTGGACTCCTCCGGATCGGCCTCGATGTCAAAAAGGAGCCGTCCGCATGAGTCTACAGTGTACTTGCCGAGATGTTTTCGGCACGTGGCCTCATTCGACGGATAAGAAGCACTGCTTGCAACCTCGATCTGGCTGGCAAAGTACAGCTCTGTGCTGGCGCCCCGAACCGGCCACGCGTGCCCCCGAAGTTTAGTTGCCAAGTTGGGCCCATTCATCGACTCTGGCCCGTACGGCACTGCCTCAAGCAGCTTGTACGTCCCGTTGAGGAGAAAGGCTGAGCCGGAACCACTGACAAACAGCAGCTCGGGACGCGCGGTGCGGTTCTCCAAGATGTCGCCAAGGTAGTTGACCCCGTTGTTGATGTGGTCGTCCTCGGCGCCACCTGCGGTTGTCCAGCCGCCGAGCTCCGCAAAGGTCGCGTGCCAATCGAAAATCGTTACGAACCCCGCCGAGTACGTGTGTCCAATCATCCTGCTCGACAGGAGTGGCGGATAGGTCCCCCAGATCATGCTCTGCACCCGCACGCCCCCCTCGAAGATCTCGTTCTTGTTCCCTCGGAGAGGATAGTTGTTTCCTGGCGAGTTGAAGTTCCAAGCAGAGCCTCCGTTGTCGCTCGAGACGATGCCGAGCCAGTCGTCGGACGAGAGGGTGTCCATGTACGTCGTCAGCTCGCTGATGGCGAGGTTGATGGTCGCCGAGGCGGCGCACCCATTCCTGCGCTGCGGGTTCGCGACGTGCGTGCAATTGGCGTAGAAACGGCTCGGATGAGAGTCGTCGTCGCCGGAATCGCGGATGGCGTTCGTCGCAAAGTACAGAAAGAGTGGCACGCCGGCGGTCTTCCCGGCGCTCCCGTACCTGGCAACGTGGTCGTTCAGGAAGCGGAACGCCTCCTCCTGCAGCTCGGTCGGCGAGTAGTAGTCCTCGGCGTCCGCGTAGTGCCGCCGCATAAAGGGGTCCTGAGTGAAACCACGGACACCTCAGGGAGAGAGACTGGGGAGAGGACGTGATCGTCGTGATTTCTCTTGAGACTGGTAGTGGCCCGGCACGCGCCATCTCGCGCCCGGCAGGGCCCGGCACGCGCCCAGCATCTAAGATCGGACCAGAGCAGAGGAGGCGCTGTTTTCAAAGGCGGTGTTTTCCATGTAGTACACGTTGTATTTGTTCGTCTTATGGCCGCAAACCGAGTCGTACGCGAGCGGGTTCTCGAGCAGCCTATTAATCAATGATGTCACTCATAGCGATGAACAGCAGTGTGTGAGATCCGTCCGGCTCGTGTGCCCGAAGAAGCGGTTGAAGCCGCGCGAGGTTGGCAGGTGAGCCGCTTGCACGCCGCAATGCCACTTGCCGACCATGTAGCTCAGGTAGCCAGTGGAGCTGAGCTTTTGCATCAGCGTCACCTAGTATCAAACCAGCAATGGCCTGCTGTGCTGCCGCTGCTGCTACGCCTGTGCTGCCAGCGCTAGTGTACACACCTCCTGCGAGCGCGAAAAAACCTTGGGCTGCACGAGGTGTCTCGGCCGGCCGGCGATGAAGGACGCCCGGCTGGGCGCGCAAACCATATCCGCGTACGTCCGGTCGACCAGGATGCCTCGCTGCCGCCACAGGGCGTTCGCGTCGCTGTAAACGCCGGCGTAGTCGGTGGAGGTGAGAAAGTCGTTGTAGCCGGTGTCGTCCTGCAAGAAGAAGAGCAGGTTGAGCAGCGGCGGAGAGCTCGGTGCGCCCGGCGGCGGCGGCGACAGGGCCGAGCCGGGCAGCGGCGTCGCCAGCAGCGAGCGGATGGCGAAAATGATCATCTGCGTTTGGTCACGCTTGGTTCCCCGTGTCGGCGCGGTGCGTGGCAGGCGCGAGAAGCGAAAGTGGAGCGAACCGATACCGGCGGGTGGCAACCTCGGCTGAATCTGTGGTCGTGGATGCCCCTCTGCGAGCCGCCGTTCACGTCGTCATTCCACACGCTTCTCGACTGTTGTTCATCTTTCTACTACACATACATATCGTTCTTAGATACACGTGATATCGTAGATAAGTTGTAGTATCCTGTTCGTAGCCAGGTAGCTGTGAAGAGGATGCGAACCCATCGTCCGATTGCTTTCTAACTGTTCACACGCTGGCCCCTCCCAGATAGGTAGGTAGGTTGGTCTTGCAATAGGTAGTTACCCCCTATCTACACGCGATCCCGTCCTATACCCCCTAACTCAAACAGCGTACGACGACTACCAGGCTGGCTGGTGGTGCGGCGGCACGATCAACGCTGGGTGCGATATGAGTTGGATTTCAAAAATCTCTCTCTGAGACGGCCGTTCCGGGCATTTGAACGCGACCGACCTTCGATCGGTCACACCGCCATCGCCGTCGGGGAGAGGGGGGACGACACTGCCTCAGCAGCGTGCACCTCGATCCTGTACCGTGTTTGTTATGACCCCCCCCAATGAACACACCAGCGAGGGTGGGCGAGACGATCGAGGGGTCCCGTACCATGCGGAATCGACCCTATCCAGTGCTCAAGTGCTCAAGCTCGAGACCTCGAGAGAAACGAGGCGGATCCTTGCTCTCCGCCAAGTCCGACTTGCTCACAACAGCCTCCTAACCCAGCCTCTGCCATGGTCTTCGCAAAGAAGAATCCGATCTCGTACCTGCGCAAGTACGGTTTTTCCAAGGGCAAGGCTGGCGCTGCCGAACCGATCGAGGACAAGCTCAAGGCCGCCGAGCCACAGACTGTCAACGACGACGACATCGTGGATGCGCCTGCCGTCGGCCTCCCCATCGCGGCGAACGTTGTCGAGGCTGGCACCGATGACGCTCAGCCCGAGGCCGTTGACACTCCCGCTGAGGCCTCTGAGGTCGCAGAGGCGGCGAGCGACGCGGCGGCTGCATCGGAGGTGGTTGACGAGGCTGCCGCCGACGCCGAGGCGGACACCAAGGAGCAGCAGCCCAACCTTCTTGAGGGCATCGCGGCAGCGGCGAGCTCCATGACCGACAAGGTGGCGGAAGCGTTCTCCAGCATCCTGCCCAAGAAGGACGACGCTGAGTCGGCGGCAGACGAGGCAGTTGAGGCGCCGGCGCCGGACGCGCCGGCGCCGGAGGAGGCGAACGCTGAGGACGCAGTCGCGGAGGGCTCGGCCCCCGAGGCGGGCGCGGACGAGGCCCCCGCCACGACGAAGAAGCCGTCCTTCCTCGCAAAGGTCACCACCATCCTGTCGCCACGCAAGAGCAAGGAGGCGGACGCCGAGGTCGAGGCGGACGCCGAGGTCGAGGCGGAGGCGGAGGTCGAGGCGGAGGCGGCGCCGGCGGAGCCCGAGGCGGCCGAGGCGGAGCCGGAGGCGGAGGCGGGCGAGGCAGCGCAGGAGGGCTGGATTGCGGCGCTCAAGAAATCGGTCTCGAACCTCGTCTCGCCGCGCATCGGCCAGTGCTTCGCCGCGGCTCCTTCGGCCGCTGCTGAGGAACCGATGACGGAGGAGGCGGGCGAGGCGGGCGAGGCGGCGGCGGAGGCGGCAGAGGAGGAACCCGTCCCGGCGGACGCGCAGCCCTTCAAGCTTGCCACCGCGCCGACGAGCGAGTAGGCGGGGCGGGGGGTAGGGGGGGGGGGTCGTGTCGTGAACGAGAGCAAAGCAGCAGGGCGGGGGAACGCATCTAGCGGTGACTCGTCTTTCCTAGAGTGAGTCGCGCTACAGTGTCCAGTCGGAGGGTGTATATTGCGTATGTGAACTACAAACCTTGCGACACACGTCCCGCTGTCGGACATCAGCGGGCGAGCGACAGCCCTCTCGCGAGAAAAATGCCGCGCGAGAATGTCTATGTGTGGAGTAGTACTACGAGTAGACGGGTGTGGAGGGTGGGTTGAACGAAATCCGGGGACGCGACCCACTTCGCCACAGACGGTCCTGCGCCTCGCCGCTATGACGGCCGCACGACCGCAGCTCGTGTGCGTGCGGCCGTCTTTGTCCGGAGTGAATACTCCAACGCGCTCGTCGGTGACGGCGTCCCCGGATTTCGCCGCGCTCGGCGAACCTCGACAGCGCCCCTTCGGCTAGGGGGGGGGTCCCGACCCCCCCAGCGCCTTCACCACATGCTAGGGGGGGGGTCATGGCCGAGGACCCCCCCAGAGACTCGTGGTCAGACCCTCCGGGCCCTTGTTTTACGCCTCATTTACTAGACCAATATGAAAAATTAAATATTCTTAGCTTCGCCCTTGCCTCCGAGACTAGGGACAGTCACCATCCGTACACAGGAGTCGAGAGACGGGAGTGCGCCTCGCCCTCGCTTGCCCTGACTGCACAGCTCAGGATAGCGTGCCCCGATGACGGCGACACTTAGCGAGGGTCACTGCGCAAGGAGGTTCGGTTTTGCCTTTCTCTGTGCTCTCGAGGAAATGTTTTCACGGCGCCCATGGCCTTCTGAGGTTTCGTACTAATGACGTCCTTCTTGGCACACTTCGGGCGTCGGCGTGTGTGTTTTCTGTGGTGTCTAATTTCCCCGGTATTCGGTGCTATATAGGTGGCCGGCTGCAGAGCAACCTCTGTTGCTCGACTCCCTTCGCTGTAAGGTGGGCGTTGCTTTGCCATGTGCTCGTTCGTGTGTGCGTGTGTGCGGGTGTGGGAGCAATTGGAGCGTGTGTGTGTGTGTGTGGCTGCGGCGTGTGGGTGGTGCTTTGCTGGCGCTCCCGGTGGCAAATGGTGTCGTCGTGAAACAAACAAAAAGACGCCCGCAGGCCAAACGGACAGGATAGGGACCGACGCAGGACGACGCACACACACGTGTACGTGTGACGATACTACGGTATCTCATCGACGGGCCAGCCCTGGCCCTCTGGGCCGAGGCTCGCGCGGCGGTCCCAGACCCTTGGTGCACCTGCCTAATGTGGCAACCTGCCTGCCTAATAATGTGGGCGGCGGGGCGGGGCGAGAGACACGACACACGTGCTCTGGGCCGAGGCTCGCGCGGCAGTCCGAGTCCCAGCTGGCCGGCCGTAACTACAACAAGGTGGTCCCTACCCAGAGGAGACCCAGACGCGGCCGGCCGAGCGGCTGACACGAGTCGCCCAAGCCATTTTTCAGGCAAGCAGCAGCCCACAATCGAGGGCAACAGCGCGCCTTGCGCTTGTGCTCGACATAGACGGCACGCTCATCGACTCGACCGACTTCGACACGGTCATTCACAAGCGGCCAGGCGTCGATGCCTTTCTCGACGACTGCTTCTCTTCGTTTGCCGCCGTTGCCATCTGGACGCACGCGGGCAGCGATTGGGCCCGACACGTGACGCAGCACGTGCTCACAGACGCCGACGGCCGGCCACGACCGTGGGCGTTCGTGTGGTCAGCGAGCAGGGCGAGCGCCAAGCGCAAGCCGATCGAGCACATGTTCGACTTGCATCCGGCGCGCGACTACATCAAGCCGCTTCTCAAGGTGTGGCGCGGCAAGAAGCGTGCGGCGGCTGGCTTCACGCGCGACCGCACGATCATCGTCGAGGACACGCCTTCGAACTGCAAGAGCAACTACGGCAATGCCGTCTACGTGCCCACCTTTCAGGCGGGCGACTGGTCCGACAACACCCTTCCGCTGCTTTCGCTGCACCTCGACGAGCTCGATGCGCATGTGCGTGCACAAGGGATCAGCGTGCGGTACGTAGAGAAGAGGTGGTGGTCGACTGAGGTGGTTCCTCCGTGCTGTTGCTTCTCGTGCTTGCTGGCTCGCATGGATTTGGATGTTCCAGATACGGGTGCGTGGACCCCGTGAGTGGGATCGCGTGGGGTGGCTACCGCTTTGTGGGCGCGAGCAGGAGTGAGGATGAGGCAGGAGTGAGGAGGGGGCCTGCTTGCCATCGGCGGTCGCGTATTCTAGTCCCGTTGGTAAGTATCTACAAGTAGGAAGCAGCCCTCCCACCGCGCTCCGCGCTATAAGCTTTTTTTGCAACATGTAAGCTTTTCAGCAACATGGTGAGCAGAATGAGGCTCTTCCCTACGTCCTAGCAAGCAGTATACACTTTATACTCGGCTAGAAGGAGCAAGCAAACTATATAGTATGTGTGCATGCATGTATGATATGTGGAAGACGGCTAGTGCTAGTCGACGGCGATAACAATCACACCTTCTACATCGTACGAGGCAACACGTGCCACGTAGCCTCCATCGACTCGAAGGGTCGCGTCGCCTGCACGCCGACAGTGACTAGCACTCTCGACCCAGACACCACGTACCCCGCGGTGAGATGGGGAGCAGGCTATAAAGGCCCAACGGTCGGACCATTCGCTCTTAAAAGCTGCACACAACGGCTTGGACTCTCTGACCCTAACCCTAACCCCAACCCTAACCCTAACCCTAACGACACGGTGCTCCTTAAGAGGTCGTGCGCGTCGCTGTCGACGCATCTCGCGTGTTGGTGTATTTGCATTTCGGCGGGGGCGCGCATTAAAAGACCATTGAGGCTACACACACGTCCTCGAGCGCCTGAGCCCCGAGCAGGACACACGAACCAAGCTGCTCTCGCACCTCCTCTCACTAGTTACTCGGTTGGGCTCTCTCCTTTCTATACTTCGTCGCTTTCACCGCGTTTGGATGCAAACTTGTGAAATTTTCAGTGAAGCGGGGGCGGCCGAAACGGTTCATGTGAAATTCACATGAATTCACACATGAAAGGGCACAAAGCATACAAGAAGAGGAGAAAGAAGAGGAGAGGCGCCAGTGATGACGAGGCAGAAGCTAGTGCAGACGAGGGCAGGGCAGACCCGGGGACGGCGGAGTCGGACCAGACGGCATCGAACGCCGAGGGAACGTTGGGAAGAGGCTCGAGGAGGGGCGGCGGCGACCACCGACTATGGAGGACCCGTCACCAGACGACGCAGGGCAGACGACGGTGAGGCGGAACAGTCGCGCAGGGCGAGACGAGGGAGGGAGCAGGACGTTGCGGAGATCAGCAGGAGGATGTACGAAGAGATTAGGAGCAGCAGGGACCCGAGGGACCATGTGGAAGACGGCTAGTGCTAGTCCCCCATCGGGAGGACGACCCCGGCTAGTCGCCGACCACACCCACAAAGAACCCTGCACAAAGATCGCAAGGGCGGGGACCTGTTCCTTTTTACCCATCTCACAGTAGAGGTGTCCGTTTTTTTTTATTTTTAATGAAAGGGTGAAATTTTTCACTCACGAAGCTCGAAGGCGCGCGCAACGGGCCTTGCACTTTGAATGCCGTGGGGCTCCTGTCGTTAGACGTGGAGACGCGAGGGTTGCCCCCCCTTGCCCCACCACCTCGTGTGTGTGGAGAAGTTTACCTTACCTTACCTTACGTCCTTACCTCACACACGAACCCTCTTACCGACCCTGTGTAAGGTAAGGTAAGGTAAACGTCTCCACACACACAAAGTGGTGGGGCAAGGGGGGGCGACCCTCGCATCTCCACGCCCGGGACACGGGCAGGAGCCCCACGGCATTCAAAGTGCAAGCACCGGCCCGGTGCCGTGGGTGAGCAACCTGCACCCCACACTCCTACTCCTATAACACAACCCCCACAGCGTGGTCGTCTACGTGTTCAGAAACACCAGCGAGGCGAGGGTGAAGGGGTAAGGGGCTGTGTGGGGCTATCTGTGACCATCTAGCCTGGGGGGTAGCAGGAGGGGGGGGCAGAGGGTAAGATATGGGTGAGGCCAGCTACAAGTCGGACGCCCTCCCGTCGTCGGAATAATCCTCGGAGCGGTCAGCGTCCTCGTCGTCGTCCTCGGTCTGCATCGCGTCGCCAGCCGTGAACCTGAACACGGCGTCGGCCGGCGCCGAGGCGCCGGCGGCCGTCATCAGGTGCATGACTATGCGGTCGCGGTATGCCGCATCGATCTCTCCGTGCTCGGCCAGCTCGTTCGCGAGCCAGTCCGAGGCGACGGTCGTCGCCACGGTCCCCTGGGGAACTGTGGCGTACACCTTGCTGGGGCCGCGTCGATACCCGTCGTCCCTCTCCGGGGGCAGCGAGTATTCGACCCCCATTTTGGACCCGGCCTGGCTGCGCGCCTGCGCAGCTGCAGACCGCAGCCCGGCCATCACGTACTGGATGTTCTCGCGCAGCTGCGCCCGCGGGGCCTCCGCGCGCTCGGCCTCGCTCGCGGCGCGCCCGCCAGCCTCCGTCGCCCGGCGCGCCCTGTGTTCAAGCTCTCGAAGCTGCATGCAGCATGGTCGGATCTCGAGGGTCGGATGTGGCGCGCGTCCCACGATCCACGGTTCGCGACTGATTCCAACAAAACAAAATCGCTCTCTGTACTCTGATTCCTCTTGTTAGAGTCCTTCACCAGACACCACTACTGGAGAATGACTCAGAGCTGTTCTCATTCTTGCCGCCCGGCCAGAGAGGAGGAGAGAGCTCTCTCATTGTTTCTCGCGACGATCTCTGCTAACCTGCTGTTTTCGATCTCTTTGCGGGTGCACAGCGACTCGTCTCCCGTGCAGGAGGCCGCATCCGCGCCGCCGTCGCCAAAGTCGGTCGTCGCGGCGGCGTAGAGGGCAAAAACGATGGTCGCAGCCGCAAAGCCGACGGTCAGGCGCCAGCCTCCCGTCTCGAGAACGCCTCCGGGCGT